AATTCTCCTGTTACTGTGATTAAGCGGCGACCTTGGTTCTAATATTTTCAAAAGGAATGGAAAAAAGTCAATTTGTCTTATAATTTATCTTAGCAGAGTATTTCTAACTTCTACCTGCTATCTGGCCTGGTTCCTACTATAATTGTTTACCGTGGGGGTCAATTCCATCTGTACTGAGCTGTGCGTGTGAATGTGCCCTTGGGTTTTTCATGTGAACTAGCACGTGGCAATGGAGATTAGGTGGCTCTGCTTCATGTGTTGATTTTGCAGCTTAAAACACCCGATCGCTTCACGTGTGCAATAATAATGGCTGAATTTAAAAGATTATGAAAATGTAAGAATAAAATGAGGCATCCAGTATAATTTAAGGTCAAATGGACATTTATAGGCTAGTTGGAGATGGTTGAAACTTTAGACTGGAGTTTTAGATCTAGCTTCCTGACATAGCTAATCTTTTAGCATTCCTTCATGATCATACTACTGTATGGGGCTTTACAGTTTAGAAAACATTCTCATTTAGGTTTATTTCTTATTTCAATTATGAGGTTCTGGTTGCCACAACTGGTACATTTCATGACAGGCAGGAAAGCTGCCCATTGTGCAGCCTCTGTCCCACATGTCCCCATTAAATATCTCTGTACTCTCCCTTATTCTGGAATCCAGAATTCTTTACCTCCAGAGTTTGACCCTTGGGACTCCTGGTTTACTGCTGTCTCACTTGCAGCTATAACACTTGCTGTATCTAAGCCCATGCCTTCAACATAATCGCCACTAAATAAATATTTATTACATTGGCTTATTATTACAGGAAGCTTTCAACCTGTATTTGTGGATATATCATTTAATATTTCCATATCCTCCCACACACAATATTCTTCCTATAGTTTTATTCAAAAATAAGAATACTATACATGTATTAATACTTCGCAGTATACAAGTTACCATCACATGCGTTATCTCATTTGATTTTCTCAGAAACCTTGTGAGATATATAGGCAGAACATTATTATTCCTATTTCACAGATGGGATAACTGAGGCAGGTGTAAGAAGATTAAGTCAGGTAGGACTGAGGTCTCTGACTCCTAAATCAGACCTCCTCTCTAATAGAATAGCTTTCTCGTGCCTCAGGTTAACCTATTTCCTTGAGTCCCTGTCTCACCAGTGAATGAGAGTAGAGAGGGCCTTTTTCAAGACTATCTTCTTGTTAAAAGTTCATTTCCTTGTTTGTAGTAATTCTGGCCTTGGGATAAGAATGTAAAAATGAATTCCCTTATGAAAGATCATTTAATATATAGCTTCTAAAATGTGTATTTTGACTTCAGCAAAGCATTTTATGGTCTCTTATGATATCTATGTAAGTAAAATTGTTATGACTTTATTTATTTATTTTTTGAGACAGAGTCTCGCTGTGTTGCCCGGGCTAGAGTGCTGTGGCGTCAGCCTAGCTCACAGCAACCTCAAACTCCTGGGCTCAAGCAATCCTCCTGCCTCAGCCTCCTGAGTAGCTGGGACTACAGGCATGCACCACCATGCCTGGCTAATTTATATATATGTATGTATGTATGTATATATACATATATATATATATTTTTTTAGTTGGCCAATTAATTTCTTTCTACTTTTAGTACAGATGGGGTCTCGCTCTTGCTCAGGCTGGTCTCGAACAGGTGACTTTATTTTTTATTGTTTCAACAGCTATATTCAACTTTCCAGGGATTTCTAATATCAAAAAGAAACAAATCACATTTCACATTATTACCCTGATGGCTCTATATGATCTGGCTCCTACCTACCTCTCTAACTTTACCTCATACTCCTTCCCTGCTCATTCAATAAGCTCCTGTAAAATGGATTTCTCTCTGTTCCTAATAAATGCCAAGCTTATTCCCACCTTAGGGTACTAGCACTTGCTGTACCTTCTGTATGAAATATCATTGTTCCCCCAGATCTTGCAGGTGACTGTCTTACCACTCAGTCATCTGCTGAAAGGCCTCCTTGGAGAGGCTTTTCTTAGTCTCCATGTTAAGTGGAAAAAAGCTAGGTATAGAGCAGTGCATATAGTGTACTGTAGTTTCTATATGTTTTATTAAATATTATTTATACAAACACACACATACACAGAGAATATTGCTGGAAATATGCACAAGAAACTGATAACAGTGATTTCTACTAGGGAGAACTAACTGCAGGATGAAAGTGAGTTTAAGACTTTTTTACTGTTTGGTATTATTTGAATTGCTTACTATCTGTATGTATTACCTATTGAAATAGTTAAAACCTCTTTAAAAGAATGAGAAAAAATTAATTGCATTGTCTGAAACTAACAAATTAGAAATAGAATAGAAATAAATATTTAATATTTCACTTGGATTCAATAATTCAACTGCACAGGTCTTGGTGACGTAGAGTCTGCTTAAAAGCAATTCATCTGACAAAAATATAAGATTGTACTGACTATGAGCTCAACCATTTGGCTGTTAAAAAAGTGAATGCATCCACCCAAAAGCAGCAGAATACACATTCTTCTCAAGCACATTCAGAACATTCTCCAGGATAAAATCACATGTTATGTCACAAAACAAGCCTTAACAAATTTAAGAAGATTGAAATAATACCAAGTATCTTTTTGGACCACAATGGGATAGAACTAGAAATCAATAACAGAAAGCAAATCGGAAAATTTAGAAATATGTGGCAATTAAACAACATGATCTTGAACAATCAATTGGTCAAGAAGAAATCAAAAGGGAAATTAGTAGATATTTTGAGACAAACAAAAATGAAAACAAAACATAGCAAAACTTATTGGATTGAACAAATACAGTACTAAGAGGGAAGTTTATAGCAATAAATGCCTACATCAAGAAAGAAGAAAGATCTCAAATAAGCAACTTGACTCTATATTTCAAGGAAAATATCAATAATAAACGAAACCCAAAGTTAGCAGGAGGAAGGAAATAATAAAATGACAGCAGAAATAGACAAAACAGAGAATAGAAAACAGAAAAATATTGACAAAACTAAGAGTTGGTGTTTTGAAAAGATCAACATAATTGACAAACTTTTAGCTAGAATAACTAAGAAAACGAGAGAAGTTTCAAATAAATAAGATCAGAAATAAAAGAGCAGACATTGTAACTGGTGCCACAGAGATAAAAAGGATTATAAGAGACTACTATAAACAATTATACACCTACAAAGTGGATAATCTAGAAGAAACAGATAAACTCCTAGATGCATATAGCCCATCAACACTGAATCATGAAGAAACAGAAAATCTGAATAGACCTATCACTAGTAAGGAGATTGATTTGGTAATAAAAAATCTCCCAATGAAGAAAAATCCAGGACCAGATGTCTTCAAAGGTAAATCCTATCAAACACTTTAAAGAAGAATTAACACCAATTTTTCTCAAACACTCCCAAAAACTTGAAGAGGAAGGAACATTTCCCAAACTCATTTTATGAGGCCAGCATTACCCGGATACCAAAGCCAAAAAACACAGCCTAATATCCCTGGAAAATATAGATGCAAAAAATCCTCAACAAAATACTAGCAAACAGAAGTCAACAGCATATTAAAAGAATCGTGCAGCATGATTGAGTGGGATTTATTTATCCCTAAAATGCAAAGACAACTCAACATAAAAAAATCAATTAATATGATATTCTATATTAACAAAACAAAGACTAAAAACTACATGATCATCTTAACAGATGCAGAAAAAACATCTCAAAAACTTCAACATGTTTTTATAATAAAAATACCAAACAAACTAGGAATAAAAGGAAACTACCTTAACATATCAAAGGCTATATATGAAAAGCCCCACACCTAACACAATGCTCAATGGTGAAAACTGAAATCTTTTCCTCTAAGGCCAGGAGCAAGGCAAGAATGCCTTGTTTCACTACTTATATTTAACATAGTACTGAAAGTCTAAGCCAGAGCAATTAGCCAAGAAAAAGAAATAAGAGGCATCTAAATTGGAAAGGAAGAAGTAAAATTATCTTTCTTCTCAGGTAACATGACATTATACATAGCAAACCCTAAAGGCTCCACAAAAAAACTGTTACCTTTACTAAATGAATTCAATAAAGTTGCAGGATACAAAGATCAACACACAAAATCATTTGCATTTCTCTATACTAACAACAAACAATCTGAAAAGGAAAGTAAGAAAACAATCTCAGTTACAATAGCATCAAAAAGAAGAAAATATTTAGGAGTGCACTTAATTAAGGTGGTGAAAGACCTGAACACTGAAAACCATAAAACATAGATGAAGAAAATTAAAGAAACACAAATAAATAAAAACATTCCATGCTCACGGATTGAAAGACCTAATATTGTTAAAATGTACATACTAACCAAAGCTATAATTTACTGTAATCCCTATTAAAATCCTAATGGCATTTTTTTTTACAGAAATAGAAAAAAAAATCCTAAATGTATATGAAACTACAGAGGACCTTAAATAGCCAAAACAATCATGACAAAGAAGAACAAAGCTGGAGGCCTCTCACTTCCTGATCTAAAACATATTCAAAGCTATAGTAATCAAAACAGTATGGTACTGGGATAAAGACAGACATATAGACCAATGAAACAGAATAGAGAGCCTAGAAACAAACCCATTCATATATGGTCAGCTATTCTTCAACATGGTGTCAAAAATACACAATAAGGAAAGGATAGTGTCTTCAACAAATAGTGTTCGGAAAACTGGATACCCATACACAAAAGAATGAAACTGGAGTCATTTTATACAATATATAAAAATTAACTCAAGAAGGATTAAAGACTTAAACCTAAGACCTTAAACTGCAAGAGGAAATTCTTTTTTTTTTTCACACTATAAACCAGCCAGTATATTATTTTATATTAAGATGTAGAACTTTTACCATGCAGACTGAAATACCTATCTCAGCATGAACAGTGAATTTTCTTCCTAGAGGCAGTCACAAGGAAAACCAGATTATCAGGTTATTTACGAGTATGGAATCCAAACAAGAGGAGGCTAATCTTAAGAACTCATCCTCGAAAGCCTGCTGCACATTTCCCACCACAGACCAGCCTCCAGAAAGCTCTTCCCTCCCCATCTTAGTCTGGCTGAGCACTGTCACTGATCACCTCCTACAGCTAGCCTGGCCTCAGAGCCATACCACTGCTCACGGGTTTGTGCTGTTAACTGCACAGTTATTAACAGGTAAGATTCTGAAGGGAGTACATCAACTGCTCCCATATACCAACGACCACAATAATCATGTTGAGTTGTTCTCCCAAACCCACGTCACTCAAATCTGTCAGATAATATGTTTTGTACGAGTTCTTTCCACCTCCATTAGCATATACATAGATTACTTATATATTCACATAATGTAACCTACATCCTACTGAGGATTGAGGTTTTTAAGGTGTTTTTTTTTCACTTTCTTGATCAGTAGTAATTCCCAACCACTTAGAAATTAATGAAACCAATTGTGTGCAAGAGGAAATTCTTCATGACGTTGGTCTTGGCAATGATTTCTTGGATATGACACCCAAAGCACAGGCAACAAAAGCAAAACTAGCCACATGGGACTACATAAAACTAAAAAGCTCTGTACAACAAAGGAAGCAAGTGACAGAGAGAAAGGCAACATAAGGGATGGGAGAAAATATTTATAAGCCACACATGATAAAGGGTTAATATCCAAAATATATAAGGCATTCCTACAATTCAATAGCAAAACAAGCAAAAATACTAATAACCTCATAAAAAAATGGGCAAAAAGGATTTAAATAAATACTTCACCAAAGAAGACTTCAAAACCACCAACAGATACACCAAAAGATGTTCAATATCACTCATCATCAGGGAAATACAAATCAAAATCACAATAAGATATTACTTCACACCTGTTAGGATAGCCATGATAACAAAACAAAACAAAAAACAACAAGTGTTGACAAGGATGTGAAGAAACTGAAACTCCTGTGTGCTGTTGATGGGAATATATAATGGTGCAGCTGCTATGGAAAACAATATGAAGGTTCCTCAGAAAATTAAAAATAGAACTAACATATGATCCAGCAATCCCATGTCAGGATATTTATCCAAAAGAATTGAAATCAGAATCTCAAAGAGATGTTTGTACTCTTATGTTCATTGTAGCATTATTTACAATAGTCAATCTAAATGTCCATTAACTGATGAATGTATAAAGAAAATGTGGTATACTCATACAATGAAGTATTATGTAGCCATAAAAAAGAAAGAAATCCTCTCGTATGCTATGTGGATAAATCCTGAGCCCATTATGCTATGTAAAATAAGTTATCATGAAAAGACAAATACGGCATGATTCCTTCACTTATATGAGGTATCTGTTATAAAATAATCAAACTCATCAAAGCAGAAAGTAGAATGTTAGTTGCTGCCAGGGGCTGAGGGGAGGGAGAAATGCTGAGCTGCTGTTCAATTGGTATAAAGATTCAGTCATGCAAAATTAAAAAGTTCTAGAGATGCAATGCAGAACAATGTGCTTATGATTAGCAAGACTGCACCACATACTTAAACATTTGTAAAGAGGACAGATCTCATGATCTCATGTTAGGTGTTTTTTGCCAGAGTAAAAAAAAGTCAATGCACCTCACAATAGCAATCATAGAAATGCAAATAAAAAATTTTCACCTGTCAAATTATTAAAGATTTTAAAATGCTAGTGAGAGTTCCCTGAGGCAGGCTCTCATTTACTGCTAGTTACAGCATAAATTGGCAGGCACAACCGTTTTGAAAAATGCTTTGGAAATAGGTATCAAAGGGTCTTAAAAATGTTTATACCCTTTGATGTAATAATTTTACTTGTAGAAGTCTGTTTTCATGAAATAACAACAAATGTAAATATGTTTATTATTTATAAAAGCAAAATGTAGAAATCTTCCAACTATTTCATAAGAAGAGAATGGTTAATAAATGTTGATACTTATGATGAAACAACAAAAATGTGAAGTTTTAGTGACAAGAGAAAACTGCTTTCGATATAGTTTAAGTACAACAAGGCAGGATAACAAACTTTACAAAGGGTAATTACATATAGTATTACCACCATGACAATAAAATTAAAAATAAAAATAGAAGGAAATATACAAAAATGATAAATAGGGTTGTTCTTAGTCAAGGAGATTACGGAGAATGTAAAACAAGATTTTTAAAAAATCCTTTTTTCCCAATGTTTCCCAAACTTTTGACAAAGAGCTCACATTACTCTCTCAATTAGGAAACAAACAACAAAAGGAGATGATTTAAAAATCAAATGTAATCTAAGATTCCATGAAAAAATATATTGTGTCTTGATCAGTTTGTCCAAACATACATTTTTGAAAGTGTCTACTTGCTCTTTAGTCTTTGCCAACATACACATTTATAGGATGTAGAGTGACCCAAAATTAGACTCTTGGTTCTAGAAATACTGGAAGATATTTGACTTGTTTTATTTAAGATATGCTTAAAACAAAAATAAGCTTTTTCATTAAATCTTTTGATTCTACCATAAAAGAGGTAGACACAATAGGGAGAGAAATCAGGAGAAAACGTTACATTATTTGTTTGTATAGTAAACATATGGTCTCTGGTAGCCCAGGAAATAGTATCAACTCCCTCTGGAACACAGTGGGTGGGTCATCCTCTTCGGGATAGTGGTCTAGGGGGCACATAAATGGAATGGTGAGCAGGGAGGGCACAGAAGGGTCTACCCTGGCAATCAAGGCAGCCAAACCCACCCAGGCTTTCAGTGGGCTGGCAGATGGCATAGCCAGATTGTCCCACCAGCCTGGAGCTACTAACTAAAACAATTACATTCTAGAGGGGATAAATTCATGCTACAATCAGATTCTTAATATTAGCTGGGGATGGTGGGGGTCATGTTCTAATTCATTTAAGTTGTGAGCAGGTAACTCTGATAAGGGATGGGCATGGAAAGGATCAAGTTGGGTTCTTTAGGAACACACGCTGCCAACTCTCTAAGAAAAATCAAGTAGTATTAACCCTCTCCTTCCAGCCTCACCATTTGATTTCACTTGAGAAGTGTTCTTTTCACCTTTATTCATATTTTTTTCCCTTGAAATCAGAGAAAGCAAATTTGGTGACCTTGGGCACAGTCTAGAAAATAGACATGTTTTTGATAGGCTCATGTTGTATTTAAAGAAAGTTAAAAAGCTTGAATGAGTTGCCAACAGTTAAAAATTGGGAAATTTGGCATAATCAGGATTTGAGACCTTAAAAAAAAATTAAATCTAGCAAAAATGAGCTGTCATTGCCACATGCCAACAATCAGTTAGAGATGAGTGGCAGATGCCCCTTTACATGGTCCAGGCCCACCAGTGTGCCACAGTCCCCACTCAGCCCATTTGCTCATTTGGATTTCCATGCCTGGCCCCTGTATGTATTCCCGACTCTAATCAATAGAATTGCTCTTACCAGTCAGAAGCTTTCAGGGCTCAGAGTGATTCAAAGAACTGATCTACAAGCCTTGAGCTGCCTAGCATAAAAAGCCTCCATTGACACAAAAACTCATTCAAAGCAACACTTCCTGTAAGTGACTCTGATAAAGACAGACCTGATTAAGCACTATAAACATGATGAGAGACGTGCTGGGAGAGTAGAAAGAGAGAGATCTGCCTCTGGAAGTCAGGGGTGCCATGGGCAGATAGCTAGAATGGAGGGAGGGCCTTGGAAGACTGGGATATCCTCTGGGAAACTCTCAGCCTAGTGTTTGGAACTTAGTAGGAGGTTAATAAATATTTGTTTCCATCTTCCTAAGAGCAGATGCAGAGCACAGCAAGGAGGAAATGGAGCCAGAACAGTGTAATGCAATGCACAAAAGCACAGCATGCCAAGAGAGAAGGGGGAAGGAGGTAATTGTAGCCTAGAGAGCAGAACAGCAAGAGAATAGGCCTAGAGAAGTCAAGGAGGCTTGCACAACTGCACCATGATTCTGATGGATCTTTGAGAGACACACATCCATGTGGTAAGTAGGGGCATATAGATGAAGACAACATTAATCAAGCAGAAATTCAGAAGGAAATTCACACTGACACTTGTGAGGAGAAAGAATTCAACCCCTTAGTGGATTGTTGGTTAAAACTTTAATAAATTTTTCTTAACATATAAAAAATACAAAGACTATTTAAAATGTGCAGAATAGCTATATCAGTTGAAGTATAGAATTTCTATAATAACCTGGAATAAATTAACTGTTTAATAAAGTTTATTTCTGGCTTACTGATGGTGTGGCTTTACTTTGGAATAATTTATTTCTAAAGCCTTAATTTAGAAAAGAATCAGTTACTAACTGAAGTGATCAGAGGAAGCATCATGTCACTAGAGTAATAACCCATCAGAGAATGTTACACAAAGAGTGCTGAACAGTGGAATGGGAGGCTCCAGATGCAATTATTTTTTTTTCTAGCCCTTTACTTAGGGTCATAGCAAACCAGTCGCTATTTATACATAAGGTAGCTTTTGCAGAATTTATATCTTTAAATATTTAACAGTTTTGACAGGCAGTGACTGGCAATAACATGTAGAGTTTCTAGCGTGTTATGAGTGCTTAATAAATGTTAAACAATAAAATCGTGTATGATGAAGACCAGTAGTCAGTAAAACTATTATGGTGTACAATATTTTAAAACCATAGTAGTAACTGTTTTAAAAAATATAAAAAGCATAATGTATTGGTTAAATCATGATATTAATAATAAAGGAACAGTTATATTCACTAAAAATCCACCCAGGTAATTTCCTCCTAAATTCCTTAGGGATTGAAAAAAGGCTCAAGGAAAGTGGATAGAGTATGGATTAAAAAACAACTCTAAAAAATGTTTTTCAAAAGCCACGTGAAGCTCTGCTGATGACAAAGCGAGGCAGCAACATCCTGTACCATGGGTGCTCCAGGCGCCTTCAAAACTACCCCCCCCCTCCAGCACCAATTAGCAAAGACCTCCAATTTTCTAAACACCTCCCAGCTTTGAAGGGCTTGGGTTTGGAAGAGGAAGCATCCAGGTGCACGTGCGCGACACCTCCAGACGTGTACCGGGACCCACTCTGGGCGACAAGGCGCTCTTATACCCAGTGAGGACGTTATTTCCACCAATCCAAACCCGGGAAAACGTAGGCTGGGCTCGGGCGCCTCGGCCGCTGCGCTTCCGGGATCTCCCGCGCAGCCGTCTGCGGCCCAAGCACTCGGCGGCGAGGGCTGCGGACCCCGCGCTCTAAGTTTGGGGAAGGAAGCAAGAAAAAAAAATAGAGCTGCTCCTTTAAGAACTTCCTTTCCCTTTTACTCTATGTTTACATAACACGGGGCCGCTCCACCGCCCCGCCCGCGGGGGCCCGAGTGGGCGCGGGCGGCCCCACGCGCCGGGAGGGGCGGCCCGGGGCGGGGGCGGGGGCGCTCCCCGAGGCGGGGCGGCTCCACCTGCCCGCGCGCCGGCGGCGCCCCGCGCTCCCGCCCCGCCCCTCCCCCACGCTGCCCCCGCCTCCCTCGCCCGCTCCCTCCGCCCTCCCTCCCGCGGGGCTCCGGCGGCGGCGGCGGCAGTGGCGGCGGCGGCGCTCGGCGCGGGCAGGTCCTCCTGCTGCCCCGTCCCATTTGTTGCCGGGTCTGGCTCGGGGCGGCCGCGGCGCGCGGAGCTCCCGAGAGCCAGGCGGGGCAGCCCCACAGCCACGACGGAGCAGCCGCGGGACTGGCCGCCCCGCGCCCCCTTCGCCGCCGTGCCCTTCCCCGGCGCGCTCACTCCCTTCTCGGGATGGGATTGTAGCGGCGGCGCGGATTCGGCGGGGATCGCGGCGGAGGCGGCGGCGGCGGCCGAGCGGGGCTCCATGTTTTCCCCCGGCCAGGAGGAGCACTGCGCCCCCAATAAGGAGCCGGTGAAATACGGGGAGCTGGTGGTACTGGGGTGAGTGCCGCGATCTCCGGCCCGGGCAGCGGGGCGGGAGGCGGCCGTCCGCATCCTTGGCGGGGCCGGGGGCGGCTCGGGCGCTCCGGGCGGCGGGAGGGCCCGGACGGCGGCCGCGGGGCCATTGCCCCCCATCGGCGCGCGCGGGGCGCTGCGGCTGGCGCCGGGCTGCGCTGTCCGCGCGGAGGGCTCGGCCGAGGAAGTGGCGGCGGGGACTCGGGCGACCCTGCGGGGCGCAGCGCTCGGGCACTGGGTCCGCACCGTGCCGCGGGGGCAGGGGCTCGACTTCCCGCGCCGGGTCCGGACGGCGCTCAGGCCGGGGAGGGCGGGCAGGGACCCGGGCTGAGGCGCCGCCGTAACGGGCACCTCGCGGGGTGGCTTCCCGAAGGCAAGAGACCGCCGACCCCCGGGCGCCCCGTGACCCCCGCAGACCCCGGGCCGGGGCCCCAGAACTCCGAGCGCGGCGCTGTGGGCTCGGGCCGCCGGCGGCCGGGCGCTCCGCGGGCTGCGCTTCGCGCGCTGCTGCGATGTCCGCCGCGGGCGGCCGCAGCCGGGGGGCGGTGAACTGTCTGTGACCCGGGCGGGCGGGCTGGCCCCTCGCTTCTCCCCGCCCGGCGCGTCCTGCAGGGGAGGGGCAGGGACGCGGCCGCGCGGGGCCTGGCGCGGGGCGCGGGGCGCATCCTCGCCCTCGCCCCGGCCGCGCGGATGCCCCCGGGCGGCGGGGCGCTCGCCAGCCTCGCCCGCCGCGGCTCCCTCTCCGCTGGTGAAAACCACATTTTGAAGATAGTAATTATCTACAATCGTTAAACGGCAGCAATTAGAGACTTCATCTACTTCCTGAGTTTCCTTGTGACATTTCTATTGTTTACCCTTGATAAGCCGGGAGAGAGGCTTCGCGGGATTAGAGCGGGACGAAGTGGCCAGTGAAGGGGGAGGGAGGGGGAAAGTGCAGGAAACCGGGGGAAGGAGCAAGTTGGGTTCAGTGTTGGAGGAGAAGGGATCACGTTTTCCTTTGGACGTGTCGCTCCTGGGAAGCCGCGCTTTTGTCCTTCTCTGTTGAAAGACCTGTATTCAGAACACGGTTGGTGCTGATAGGTGGGCTTAGCACACACAGGAGGAGTCACCGGCATGGAAGGACTCGGGGAACTTTGACAAACGTGTTTTGATAACGGAGTGCCTTGAAGTAAGTGCCGACGTAAAAATGATCTTAAAGAGAGTTTTTAAGAGACGCTTCTAGACACAGGGTAACTCAAAGTTTCCTAGTCTTCCTCACCTTGTTGCCAGTGTGTTAAGTAGGATAGTATTGGAAATCTCCTCACTTATTTTGAAGCAGACAAGCGTTTGTCTCACCTGCATCTTAATTGCACTTAAAAGACAAATGTCAGGGGTCTCTGGAAAGAGGGAGGAATGACAGGATAAAAGCCACAGTTTATTTAGTCTGTCTTATGTAGCTTCAGCCCAACCTAATTTTGTGGAGTTTGGTTTTGTTTGTGTGGCTGGCTTCAAAGTATGTTTAACACGGTGAACTTGACGCGGAGCTTTAACTTATGCCAGAACTTTATCTCATTATTTCCTTTTCAGGAAATCATTGTTGAGATGTTTCAGAAAAGCAGTGCCTGAGTGGGCCTGGAGAGGTTTTGTGTTCATAGCTGGAAGTGCAGGGCATTCCAAAGCCACAGAAAGGATTTATACCCTGGATTGTCCTAGTATCATGGGCTCACTTCTCAGGAGGCTGTGGAAATGCACTGCCAATTGGCGTGTGCTCTGCCCTTGCTAATGACATAGTTGGCACTTACCTAATATTTTGAGCCAGACGCTCAGCAGTTCTTCGTGCACCCACTATGTGCCAGCACTGTTCAGGCGTTGGGGATCCAGCAGAGAACAAGGACCTTTCATTTCCATATGGAGTGACATGCATAAACAGAAACGTGTAAACAAATGGATGATAAATGACAATTTCAGGTGTTGCCAGGTTCTAAACAGAAGTTGCTAAACTTAAAGAATGACTGTTTTAGGTGGGTATTCCTTTCCTCAGCCAGAAGGTCAGGGAAATTCTCTCTGAAAAAGTGAAATGTGAGAAGAGGATGCTAGTCTGGGTTTTGAATACTTGGATTGTAGTCTTTTTTCTTTTTTTGAGAGTAGGTTTCTGACTCTAGCAGTATTGAACATATTGAAAGTGCAGTGAAATAGTAGGTATATTTTGAAAGAAATCCTTTTTAATTCATATCCCACTCTTAGGACTTGAGATAGTGCCTTCCCTCTTAAAAGAATAACATTGAAATAAAAATTAATGTCAACTTTGTATGTCTGGTACTCGGGGACATAAATATTGTTAAATAGAGAATTTCTAGTATGTTTTCTTATTGATGAAATTATTCTTGAAGTCTAAAATGCCCAGTGTTTCATACTGATAAAAAGCTTTGTCTTGTAAAATATAATACTTTTTTAAAAAGTTGTGTGACTCCTTTTTGTTCTGTTTTGAATTTCATGGTAAAACATTGCTAGGAAATCCTGGAGAGCAGACTGAAGAGCTGATAGCCGTCTATATTCATGTACAAAATAACTTCTACATCTTTTCCTTTGCTACACAGTATTATTAAGAGAATGCCAGGCAGTTAGGATTTTAGTGGGCTCACACTTTCTGGGCAGATTGGTGGAATTTAATTATTTCATGATTCCAGCCCAGGGATCCTCAAACTTTTTAAACAGGGGACCAGTTCACTGTCTCTCAGACGGTTGGAGGGCTGGACTATAGTTAAAAAAAAACTATGAACAAATTCCTAATGCACATATCTTATTTTGAAGTAGAAAAACAAACGGGTGAAAACATCCGCATGTGGCCTTTGAGACATAGTTTGAGGACGCCTGTTCTAACCAGTTATTGTGTCACAGGCACAACTCTTTGCCAAAGATGGAGAAAATGACAGGTTCTAGCTATCAGGTCTTTTTTGCTATTAATTTTAAACCTGGCTAACATTTTAAAGTTGGGGAAGTTGCTCAGGGTTTTGAGAGGCAGTTCAGTGTAGTGGAAAGAGCATGAATTTTATAGTCAGGGGACCTGGATTTAAGTCCTGCTCTCTTGTCTACTGGCTTTGTGATTTTGGCTCGGTTCTTCCTGCTCTCTCAGTTTCTTTAGCAGTAACAAAATATGATGAGATTAGGTAGTCTTCAAGGGCCCTCCTGGTCTGTGCTCTGTAATTCTGTTCATTGACACAAATGTGGAAAACTATACACAAATGTGTATAGTTAAGTAACATGTTCTAAGTACTCTGACATTTGTTGATATTGTGTATTCTTAAAGTGATGGTGCTAAAATTCAAACAGAAGCACATCTTGTGTTTTAATGGTAGAAAAGACCAATGCTATGATTGCTTTTTATGAAGTAGATATGCACAAAACAGATGTTTAAAGTTGTAATGGTATACATATATTTGACTCATTGGTGTTAGGTTGTACATGAGAGTATTCAAATTGGGTAAAACTTTCTGTTCCAAGTTTAAGAAAGATCATTGCCTTTCTTATTTTGAAATCAAGCTAACTAGGCTAAAATAACCAGCATAAGAAGGAGATAATCTGATGAGTTAGGACTGTGAGGGGCCTAAGAGGTCCCGGTACATGTCCAGCCCTTGTATTTTTATCCATGAAGAAACAGAGGCTCCTGGAAGGAAGGAGATTTGTTCAAGTTCATAGCTGATTTGGGCTGAGCTGTGTCATTCCACTCTGGGTTCAATGTTTCCCCACTTTAGGGCAGATCCAGCAGTGCCTCCATTTCTCAAAGCACCCTTTCTGGATTCGTTTTGAAGCACGTGGTTCCCTAGCTGGCTGATGGCCCATCATGGTTTTTAGAGAGGTGTTGCTTTCTCTCTTAGTTCCTCTCACCTCACAGTTGAATGGATAATACATTTTGCAAGGCTTTACTTTTCATCTGATGCTTCACAAAATCTATTTTTATTGGCTCTCTAGAGCAAGAGTTCTCAACCTAGGGTCCACAGATAGAATTCAGGAAGATCTTGAACTCGGATGTGGAAATAAAATACCGCTTTGTTTTCATGATACTCAAACTGAAATTTAGCATTTGACTCAATTATGCATGGAGGCAACAGAAAGACCAGCTAGATTTGTTATTTAATTCATTAATACAGAAGTACATGTATGATTGTATCCCAGTTTAAGACTATTTTGATAATTAAGCATAACTAATTTCGTTTGTAATGCTTTGTATTTCATTTTATGTGTTTAAAAACATTTGTCTGAGAAGGGGGTCAGTAGGCTTAACCAGACTGCCAAAGGGATTCTTGGCACAAAAACAGATTAGGAATCTCTACAACTGAGGGCTTACAAATATGACTGAGAAATGAAGTATCTAAGTGAAAACTGATAAAGCTGTACAAAAGGGGGTAGGTACCTGCCTTTTTCACTTGGATAATACAGTGTTCTATTGGGTAAGACAAAGAGTACTATTGCTTGTAGAGTTTATGGTCTTTATTTTTTTTTTTTAAAAAAGTGGCTTCCAATTTCTATATTTTTTTTCGGTGGTGGTTATTATAACCTTGGCACTTTATGTTGACTATCCCTCCCTTTGATAGTAATAAGAAACTTTAAAATATACCCTAACACTTTTTTTTCTTGTCCTCCACTCTAATTTGGACCCGAAGACATCAAACACTAGTATCTTTTGTAGACTAAAAGGTCTTTGAACTTTTTTTTTCACTTTATAAAATAAAATCTTTAGTGTCAGTGTGCATGTGGGGTTATCTGAAGAACTCAGATCTGTTTGTGTAGATGGAGTGTCTAATTCTGTAGGCTATTAAGGGTTATGATGTTACTGGCTTTGGGTTGCTATATTTTCCTTTACTAACTTTAGCCTTGTTTGGAGTATGTGGCTGTCTGTGTTACTTTGTGGTTTCCAGTCTGGCTTTCTGAGATTTATTTGTTTCTCTCTTTAACACACCAAGACTTGAAACCTTCATTAGGACTTTTCATATTTAGTTGTATTTCAT